ATGCAGGTGGATACCTCATTGCAATCATGACACCTGTTTCCAGCATGCGGTCATCGATAAAATTCTTTTATTTTCTCTTCACTTTTAGATACAAATCGAAATAGTTTTTTACCGACGTACAGCTGAGAATGTCCTGATTCCAAATACATCTATGTCAAATATTTTTTGAATAAATTATGAATGTACTTACACACTCTTTCGTCGGCTAGAAAAACTGTATGCTTTAAACGAAAGGCTCTTTTGCCAGATGATAGCGCATAAGTTTTTCCGTTATTATGAAGTTTCATGATGAAAATGACATGAAAGGATGGTTAAAATCGCAGCTAATAAAACAAATTCAATTGTTGCATTGATCCAATTCGTTTTTCTCAGAAGGTAAACTTGGTTATGGGGATGCGCTTCTTGATCAGAATATGAATAGAAATGTAGCTGAAACTTTCATGAAAATGAATGAAAAATTGAGGAATTAGTTTTTGACGTAAAACTTGACATTTTCACACGTTCTCAAGACAAGAGTCGGGAGGCGAGTCATTTTGTAGAAGACGCTGATATGTCCCATATCTTGATAGGTTTTTAAAATGTCCCGGTAGTAGTTCAGAGTACTTGCGTCGTTGCTCAAAATATTCGATGAACTTTTTTTCAGAAATTCCCGGACATAGCTTTCTATACTCAATTTCTTACGTTGAATCTGAAAAAACAGTTCAAAATGTTCAAGAGAAAGTTAAAACAAAGATTTAACAAACACAAGTTCGAAAATTAGGCAATTTTAGAGTATTTCAGTATTTTGAAAGTTTTTCTGTTCAAAATATTTTTGGCAAAATTTAGAACTACTTTTTTATATATCATCTCGATATTCTCTGTCCAATGATGTATAAATAAAGGAAAAATGAAATCTGCTCAAATTTTGAATTTGTATTATCATACAATAAATGTTTAATACCAATGAATGACTTCTGGCTCTCGTATCAACGATTGATTGAATAATTCTGTTGAATCACCAGGAAAACCATAGGCAGTACAGCCAGTTTTCCCCTCGATCTTTCGGTACCAAAGCTTTTGGTCTCGTGCCTGTTTGAGTTTGTCTTTTCTCTTTTCTTGATACATTGGGTTCATTTTGACCGTTGTCAGATCCAATACTGTCGGACTTAGTGCACTTGCGTATTTTACAATCAAATCGTAGCGTTTACTCTTGGATGCAAAATCCGTGAGTAAATAATTAAGGTTTTCTGTGACATGGACACCTTCGCCGTTTTTATTTCGATCTTTTAGATGGCCACGAGTGATCTTATATTCATCCGAACTCATTGCTCTAAGAAACAAAAAATATTGAATTTGACTAGGAAAAAGGAAGAAAAATTATTATTAGATATCAACAATGATTTTGACCAATGCTTATCCTGTAATATTACATTACCTGTAATACGTGTAATGACTTGAATCCCGACTTGATTCCTCAAGACAGATTTGATGAATCGGAATATCGTCAACATCGATCACTTCATTCAGTTGGGTTTGGGTTCTCAATGTTTTCGTTAATATTTCCGCGTTTATATTTTTAATAAGTTTATCGAGTTGTTCAATATCCTCTTCTATCTTCACAACATAAGACTCGCAATTAGCAATAGATACTACGGTGAAAGCAGATGAATGCCTTAACCCGCGTGCAAACAACTTATTCGTTAGTTTTTGCTGTTCTAATTTATCAAACATCTCGTCAATTTTTTCCGAGTGTTTATCGTGAATTGATTCGATTTTTTGCACCATATCCGCTTTCCAATCATCAATAATATCTTGCAACTGCTCACGCTTATTATCAAGATCAATTTCTTTAAACTTAATACGCATCTGATTCACTTTATTAATCACTTGTTTAGTTTCATATTCGACAATATCCGAGTGTCGGTTATAATGTATCGCACAAAAAACATGGCTACAGTGCGAACAAGTAATATAGCCAAGCAGATAACACTCTTCACATTCGGCTATCTCCATTTTTCGTCACCTGAAAAATGATGAAAGGCAAGATGGCCAGCGTTCGTCGTAAATGTCTTAGGCTTCAAACAGTTTTACGGACACCATCTTTAATGTATTACTAGCACAAAACAAACGTGTAAGTGACAGATCAGAATTAACTCAACTTAACTTTATACTATCTATATTTCATGTACAATTGATCGAATCAGGGATAATGGTAGTTCCTAGTGTCAAATTCCAACCTAGATCTGAAAGCATCACATTTCCCTTCAACCTTCCTTAGTTATTCAATCGTCTGTAGCCACCGGCAAGCATTATATATTTATTCTTCAAATCTACAGCGATCTAACTTACATTTAAGTACAATAAACAAGTACAATAAATAACATCACATGAATTATAAGAATGCAGCACAAGGTATACGCGGCAAAATTTTTTCATTTATAGACTAAAAGAATGGGTTTTTTCCCCCAGTAGAAGAGAAAAAAATTATATATACGAAGTTGTGTAGCGTCATAAGTAATTCAAAAGAAAAAAGAATTTTTTCCTGGTTATTATATATACAGATGACAATGCTCTCAATTTGAATTCATCAATTTCTAGACGTTTTGGCGGCACCGAAGCACACGTCTGTCAAAAGAGATACTCACTTATTAAATTCCGGTCTTGAATTAATTAAGGACAAGTTTCTTTCCCATTAGTTACATTTAACCATACAAAAACGTGAATCAACGATATTTAATAGACCAGAAAATTAAGAAACAACAAAGGAAAGATGAAAAAATAACTTTTAAAATAAAATGACAGATGTAAAATAAAATGGATATACCGAAAACTGTTAAAAATAAAAATATTAAACGGCTATTATTAAAAGTCAATTAAATATTTTTCTACCTTACTTAAATATTCTTCTACCTGAACATATTAGAGAAAGTTTCTAAATCGAAAGAAAAAAGATACAATGAACACATTTTTCTTGGGCCCTTCCGCGCAGGTCCGCCCACTATTACGTTCACTATCCGCCGCGAAAATTTCACTTGCTCCATCGTGTAGAGCATCAAAAGTAATATTATTACGATTTAGAGCCAACAAACGAATAAAAATAAATTTTTGTACAGCAGCAGTCATTTATTTAATTTAATAATTTAAATTTATCTTGACGTTTCGACTCTTCATAGAGTCATCTAGATGACTCTATGAAGAGTCGAAACGTCAAGATAAATTTAAATTATTTAATTAAATAAATGACTGGTGCTGTAAAAAAATTTATTTTTATCAAAAATAATCAAAAGGTCTCGTTTACACTTTTTGAAAAAACATGTGGAAAGTGGTTTTCTAGACGATTCAAGTTTTTGATGAGAGTGAAACCGCAGTCGGTGAAAATGAATGAAACATTGCATAATTATACATCAAATTGTAGCTCTTGACGAGTTGATTCTGATGGTGAAGGAATTCGATCTCGATCTAACTCTACATTCAAGTGGTACTCAATCTACTTGAAAAATTCCTGAGATTTGACCCCGATTTTCTCCTGAACGCTCCGAAAATTTTTCGAGATTTTTTCAGAATAGGAACTGTTTAATAGGGTCTATAACTTTGTCCATACAACTACCCTCGACACTTTCCATTTTTCACCCTCGGTTTTCCAGAAATCCTCTTAGAAAACTGACGTATGGAAGCACACAGAACCCTCAAAAAGTGTTGAAGTACATCGAATGAGATGTGACTGATTTGCGAATATCTACATTTTAGCCGAATATCTAAATATCCAGAATATCTGAATGCCAGCGTGCTTCCAGCCGCATCACTCAAAGTCGCTGTATTTACATATCTATCCTTAGATACTCAGATATACAGATATACTGATGTTCAGATACTCAGATATTAAGACGTTCAGATATTCAGATGTAGAGTTCTTCTGATGTTGAGATACGCCGATGTGGAGATATTCCGATGTTCAGATATTCGAATATTTAGATGTTCAGATATTTACAGATATTGCGATATTCAGATATACAGATAAACAGATATTCAGACATACAGATACGCTTTTTTGAAAAAACGTGTGAAAAGTGGTTTTCTAGACACCTCAAGTTTTTGGAGAGGGTGAAACCGAAGTCCGTGAAAATGAACGAAACATTGCATAATTATACATCAAATTGTAGCTCTTGAAACCGAAAACTGTTAAAAATAAAAATATTAAACGGCTATTATTAAAAGTCAATTAAATATTTTTCTACCTTACTTAAATATTCTTCTACCTGAACATATTCGAGAAAGTTTCTAAATCGAAAGAAAAAAAAATACAATGAACACATTTTTCTTGGGCCCTTCCGCGCAGGTCCGCCCACTATTACGTTCACTATCAGCCGCAAAAATTTCACTTGCTCCATCGTGTAAAGCATCAAAAATAATTAAAAGGTCTCGCTTACGCTTTTTTGAAAAAACATGTGGAAAGTGGATATACTCAGATCTTGAGATATTTAGATACTTTGATGCTCAGATGTTCAGATATTCAGATATTGTGCATGATTGTCAGATATAAACATTTTCTGCTGTAGAGGGACTTGTGAACATTGTGATACAGGCTGTACTCAACAAGTCATGTGAACCTTCTTGTGGTTCTGCTCATATCAAGTAAGGCTTTTTAAATTTTTGATGAAATTAAAGGAATAAATAAAAAAAAGTAGTAGTGGGCTGACTATCCTGTCACTCTGCACGTATCAGCTTTTATCGTGCAATATAACCTTTCTGTTGTCAGACTGGCTAAGCGTTAAAAATTTTCTTGTATTCATACTTTCTGCCTTTTCTGCCGTTTATCGCTCGCAACCTTTTCTAGTGTACATTCCTGTGAAGCTTTACTACTTTTGAGATTTTTGAAGCTTTTCTGTAGCAACACCTTTAGCTCCAACACATGATCCTACAATAGAATTTAGATCATCAAGAACATCAAAACCACGAACAAAATTATCTAAAACTATTACAGAAGGTGGTGCCAATAAAACATATGAAACATTTTTTGAAGGTGAAGAATCAAAAGAAATGAGATTATCAATGAAAAATGAAGGATTAAGAACAGGAGCAGTGCAAACAGAGGTAGATGAAAGATCGAGAAGACATGCAGCAACAGAAATAGTATCATCTAATTATGGATCATCTGAATACAACGCATAAGGCTCGTTTTCGATAATAGCTGGTGAATTTGTGTTGCTATCTCCAACATTCGTCTGATCAAGACTATCTTCAATAGGCGTTGGCAGTTGTTCTTCATCCTGTATGTCATTGTCTTTAACGATCTGCAAAACTCTTGATCAGATCGCGGTCTTTGTCCCAACATTACTTCATATGGTGTACACTTTGTAGTTGATGACATCCGAGTATTAATTCCATATACAACAGGCAAAAGACCTTCAGACCAATGACTTGAATTCTCATCAGACATCCATTTTCCTAACGCACTTGTCAATGCACCATTTGCTCTTTCGACACAATGTTGCGACTGCGAATGACGTCGCCTGCCTCGAACGAAACACATTGATGGAAACAAAATCTTTAGTTCAACAATCACATTCGCAACAAACTCTCCACCGCTATCAGAATGGAGAAGACGTGGCGGACCGAAAACATAAAACAAACCTCGAAGACATTTTGCTACTTCAATGGCTGATTTATTTTTTAAAGCAAAAGCCCAAAAAAACTTTGAAAAATGATCGATACAATTCAGAACCCACTAGAAAACAGCATCACTCGAAATTGCATCTGGACGTGTACGCATGTCAATCAAGTCTATTTGTAGTCTTGTCATTACACCCAATGATATTATGGGCTTTGATACAACGGGCTGTTTAACCGGTTTACGCACCTGACAGGCAATACAAAGTTTTAAAAGTATTAACGAAGAACTTCACAGGTTGGAACCAGTCTGAATACTGTTTTGAATAGTCCGAAGATTTTTCTTTCAGATGAGCTGCGTATCGCGAGAAAAGTTGATAATTGGATTTCTAGTAAACCTGACCGCTGGAAAGCCAAGTCCTCGGTTTTTGGTCAGAAAATTTTGTAACCCCTTTGTAACCATTCGTAAGTCGACTGCGGTTGAGTGAAAAGCATTGTAGACCGTCGAGAGACGTCTTATCTTTCTCAGAATTCTATGCTCTATCAGCCTATATAGTTCACAAAATTTTCTGACCAAAAACCGAGGGCTTAGTTTTCCAGCGGTCAGGTTTTCTAGAAACCCCATTATCAACTTTTCTCATGAAACGGCGATACGCAGCTCATCTGAAAGAAAAATCTTCGGGCTATTCAAAACAGTATTTAGATTGGTTTCAACCTTTACTAAAGGATCAAAAATGAAGGAGTTCTTGAGATTAGGACACGCTGTACTGCATATATAACGCCTGAACGCTTCTTCCTCATGTCTTTACTGACTGGCCCCACCTGTCTGGATATTCTGACCAGTTCACTTTGTAGAGAATTCCAAGGGCTATCCAATGGTATGTTTTTGAGAAATACACAGAAGACTAGATAGAAGAACTAGTTGAATAGCTTCGTACAAGACTCTACCCAGACATGTACTGGAATATGTCACAAAATCTCGGGGATTTCATGGACATGTCCGTAGTTTTTTCGTGCCAAAGATGTTTTCTACTTCGATGCTATCTGTTGAACCCAAAAAGGGTACAAAACAGAACCTTTTCCAAATCATGGTATTTTTCCAAGGGGGAAATAGCGGGTCCAACATATACTGTCTCAGACAAGACAGTCTTTACTGTAAAAGCCAAGATTCAACCCTGATCGCAGCAAGTTGTGATTCACTTATAAAAAACTTAAGGCAGTGTATCTGCACGAATCACTAGTTGGAAAATTCCCCGTTAAACACAAAGCACGTGTACTTGTATATTGTTGTCTATGCATCAGAAAAGAAATGTGTATTTCAATACGTGCGTTTATCGAAAAGAAAGAAATAGAAAGAGACGGCTGGTGTGGAAGAGAAGCGTGTCTCCTAATTTGAGATAGTAATAAAGCTATGGTATTCCGAGGTAATAAAACTCACTTGATGAGCATAATACATACATACAATCGGAGTCCATAAGTAAAATAATATAACCTCCTTACAGTCCAGTACATTCGAATATAATTTTCGAATTTATAGAATTTACGAACTCATACTCATACATTTACGCACTCATACTATCCGACTGATCGATCTTATCCAAAAAACAATCACAAGAGAAGAAAATCAAACACACAACTCCCTATAAACATAAGAAAAGGAGTATCACCCAACGAAAATATAGAACTTCTTATACACTAAACTTAAGAAGTTCTAGTTTTTAAAAACTTTTTAAAACTTTCATACGCTAAACCACCGAACTTCCAAAATTCCGAAATTCTTATGTGCTAAACTTCAGAAGTTCTAAAATTCAGAAATCCCACAATTCCAGAATTCAGATTATGTGGTAAACTCCAGAACTTCTAAAATTCAAAAACTCTTCTGTGCTAAACTTCCAACAATTCAAAAATTCAGAAATTCTTATGTGCTGAACTTCAGAAGTTCTATATGTGTATCCCCTCTGCAGACTATTACTTTCAAATTATTAAAATATAGTGAGGGTCCAAACAAGCATATACAAGTAACTTTTCTTTTATAACTTGCTATATGTAAATGTTTATAACTTTTATACATGAAAAAAAATAAAAATATACATATGTGAAAAAATGAAAACGTATATGCTTGTTTGGACCCTCACTATATGTCCATT